ATACAAATGATCAACATCCATATGATTAAAAAGAAGTCCTCCCGGAGCCCTTCACAGGTAAATGGTTGAAGTGCATGCCATATAACAGCAGAATCCCCTGTTCAGTTCTGCCTCCATACTATTGATACTATTGCTGCTGACTTGCAATCTCTTTTGCTGTAATCTGATGAAGATAGAATATTTTATATCTGTCAACCTTAAAAGTATAATAAGTAAACTGCAGCTGTGGTTGTATATTGTTATTTTTTTGTGCTAAAGCAAAGACTGGGGCTCATTACTTGACAAGTGAAACTTGATTGATAAAGTATGCAGTGCCCTGCAAGGTGCAGGGTGTACCATACACTGTGCTCTCCGTTAGATTTCTGCTGATTGCAGTGAGGTAGCCTAAGCCTCAGTAAATTCCCCTTTTGATTAGAGCCATAAATAAAGCTTTACCGGCCACTGAGCTGTGACAATAGACCGTCTGCTCTCTAAGTCCAGCCAGCCTGGTATGCAGGCCAATGAATGCCACAATGGGATGGCAGGACTTGTTTTTATCTGACAGTGCTGGGTTTTTAGCCCTGCTAGCAAAAGCAAAGGGCTCGAAAATGGCAAATCACTCTGATGGTCAGCTCTAACGACTTTTGGCCCAGTGCGTGTAAGGAATAGCACGGACTCCATCGGGCACCAACTGATGAAGAGGCAGCACACACCGGTGGTCTGAAGGATGCACATTATTGTGGGCCAATGAGTGTCAGCTCTCCGGAAACAATACATTTTATAACATTAATGTAGCTCCCCAAATAAGCACATCCCTGCTAATTTGTTTTTTGCACATATATACAACAGAACAGCATGAATCTAGATAATAGAAATAAAACAGATGTGACAGGAGAAGAAGCCATGCACCTTGACTCAACTAAAAAAGAAATAAAAGAGAACAAAGGAAAAAACTAATAAATACAACATGATTCAGTGCAATACAAAGAACATAAGTAACAATTATACACGGATAATGAACAAAATAATACACCAAATAAGCAGACAATAATGAAATTAAAGAATTAGACATAAACAAGAAGTAATTGGACATCATGATTTAAATGTGATGACAAAAGAGAGCAGCTGTTTCAGGGCTCTTGGTTCTGGAAGTAAAAGCCCCATTCATTTTCCCCATAGACAGTGTTACATGACTCACAGTTGGACCACTTGTACTGCTTGAATCAACAAGAAACATAAAAACTGTGGGACATTAACTACGACTCCTAAGGTGCATTTCAGCAAGAAACTTCCAATCCCAGACAGAGCTTAAAATTCTACAATGGCGGGCAAAATGTGAAAAGACACTTCTGGATCACTTGTGGGTGAATTGTAATGACAAAGCTGATTTGTTCCTCTTCTCCATGGCAACAGTGGCCGAGGCTCATAGGTGTTGTAGTATTTAGAGCTAGAAAAATACAGCTAAAAATCGTTTTTTTCATGGATATAGGGTTACCATAATAGCCATGTCAAAAAAAGAGCTTAAACATCAAATTGCTATTTCCGTGTGTTCTTTTGTCTTTCTTGTTTGTTTTTTCAATTATTAATCTGATGTTTGTTTAGTATTCTCTTCAGTTATATTGGGTCTGTTGTTGGTTTTTGTTTTTTCTTCGTATATCTATTCCATTGACCCCACAACTTGTGTTACAAACAAAATGTAGATGTTTTAAGAGACTTCCATCTACTGACACCTTAGCATAATCCCAAGCATACCCTTCCTGCAAATATTATCAAAGTAGCCTCTTCAATATTCAGTGAGAGCTTATTAAGTTGAAACCATCTTCAATCTTCATCTTGTCGAATCTGTGAGATCAGATCATATTAGTATCATCTGCAAACAAAATGGTAAAAGAAGATTTACAAACGAATGAAAACGTAATTAAGAATAATAATAATAGGTATCCTAAAACTGATCCCTGTGGTACTTGTTTGAAGCCCAACAATTAGTTATTATTGCTCCCACTCACTCATATAGCTAGTTAATCGCTTCAGTCTTGGAAACCATACTGTTTTAATTTGAAATAAATGTAGTATGTATATAATGCATATAACTGTATGTAACTATATAACAGCATCTGGACTCCCCAGGAACCTATGCCAGGATCCTGTTTGTGGACTTCAGCTCTGCTTTTAACACCATCATCCCAGCTCTGCTACAGGACAAGCTCTCCCAGCTCACTGTGCCTGACTCCACCTGCAGGTGGATCACAGACTTCCTGTCTGACAGGAAACAGCACGTGAAGCTGGGGAAAAATGTCTCTGATCCCCCCAAGGCTGTGTTCTTTCTCCTCTGCTCTTCTCCCTGTACACCAACAGCTGCACCTCCAGTCACCAGTCCATCAGGCTCCTGAAGTTTGCAGATTGGCGGAGTGACACCTCCCTCATTGGTTCATCTCTGTGGAGATGAGTCTGCCTGACAGATGGGAGATTGACCATCTGGTGAGACTGGGTGCAGCCAGAACGAACCTGAGTAAACGCCTGAAAACAGTGGAGATTGTTGTGGACAGGAAGAACCCACCCCATCATTCCTGTGTGACTCCCCAGTTGACTCTGTGGAGTCCTTCCGCTTCCGTGGTTATCCATCATTACCCAGACCCTCAAGTGGGAGGCTTAAACATTCAGGTCCTCACCAAGAAAGCCCAGCAGGAGGATGTACTTCCTCGGCAAGCTGAGGAAGTTCAACCTGCCAAAGACGGATGATGGTGCACTTCTACACCGCCATCATCGAGTCCATCTCACCTCTTCCATCACCATCTGGGTACGCTGCGCCACTGCCAAGACCTATAGGGCAGACGGCGCGCATCATTTGATCTGGCTGAGAAGGTGATCGGTTGCAATCTGCCATCCCTTCAGGACCTGTACACGCCTCCAGCACCCTTGAGGTTGTGGCAGGCCAAAGATTGTGCTTGACCCCTCCCACCCCGGGACACAAACTCTTTGAAACACTTTCCCCTCTGGAGGAAGGCTGCGGTCCACAGGGACCAATACCTCTCCGTCTGCAGCTGGGCTCATTAACAAGGCCCGGATTACCCACTGACACTGACTCTTACCCACCCTGTATATATGCATTACATTAATGCACTACCGTCTTCTGCACAGTTTTTTTTCTTTCCTAGCTTTATCTATTTATATTTTAAAACTACTTTATTTTTCTGTGTGATTTTTGTGTGATTTTTGTGTGATTTGTATATTTGTATATTTTATGCACCAATGCACACACACGAAGACACATTCCTCGTAGGTGTAAAAACCTACTTGGCAATAAAGAATTCTGATTCTGATTCTGAACTTGTCCTTATCCATGTCCTTGTATATTTAATAAGTGAATACATCACTCTTATTTAAATATTATGTTTTTACATTACATTCATTTAATGCCTTTAGATAAGCAACTTACAATAAGTGCATTCAACCATGGATACAACTCAACATTTGCTTGACCCATACAAGTACATCAAAGCTAATCAAATATGCTTGAAGTGCTAACAATAAGAGAATAAAAGACAGAAAAATAGGTGGGTTTATTTATTTAATTAATTAATTTATGGGCCAAGATGCAGTCTGAACATATGAGTTTTCAGTCTGCAACTAAAGATGTGTACAGTTTGCTGTCCTGATGTTGATGGGAAGCTCAGTCCACCATTGCAGAGATTTTGTTGTTGCCGTATGAAAGCATGAAATCAAGTACCCGTGTTAGTGTCTTGAAGAACAAAGAGGCTAGGTAGGTCGTCAGCATTTATATATGGTTAAGTCTGGTGGCTTTGGACAGAGGATATAATCAGCTTCAGTTTCCCAAGGTAAAGGTAAAGTGGTTAACAGGTGGGCTTTTTTTAAGGTGACTAAAATATGGTTTGTTGCTTTCCCTTGTCCACAGCATTGCTCTGCTTCTATGCCAGTAGAAGCTTCTGTGCAACCCCACTTTCAAAAAACTGAACTATCCCTTTAACTTTAAAGGGAAGCTTTCATTGTGTGTTTTTTTCATAATGCATTGCAATAGCCTGTTTAAAGTGATCATAGAGGCTACCAAACAACTAATCAATACTGAAACTGTATGCTAATAGATAAAGGAGTATTGATAAGACATGCTTTAATTTCCCCAGATAGAACAGTGCTCTAAGCAGACCGGATGTCATGCAGCAGACGATAGAACATGCAACCATAACAGACTTGCAAAAACTTACTTGTGAGCATTGTGTTTATAGTCTATTTTATGCATATGTAATTTTATATATATTTAGATTATCTCCTGGCCTATATCCTGTATTGCACATTGCAAATATCCTTTATATTTCATACTGTGAACTTGCACATTCCTGCACAGCTGTACAGCTCTTCATTTGAATAACAATGTTGCACATATTGCCTTTTTAGATTTGTATATATTGTCTGTTTTATTGTATATATTTTATATTTATTTATATTTTTCTCTTACTACGTTTATTGTTGTGTACCATGGCAAATACCTTGTATGTGGAAACCTACTTGGCAATAAAACCGATTCTGACTAGATCAAAATGAAAAGGAAAAAAATGAATCTAAAAAAAAAAATAGGTTAAAAAAAGGGGGAAATGTTTTGTTGTGAATTGTTCCTGGTTTGATGGTGGTGGGGAGCCACTCATAATAACCTTTATTTATAAATCCTGCCTACCTGTGTCCATGTTTGCGCTTGATGCTGTGTCCATGCCTGTGTACACGTGCCTCTGGCCACGCCCCCCACCAGTTAGTCCACGCTGCCACAAAGCGGCACTGCGTGGGCGGAGGACCCCGCACCTGCTGAGTCTGTATTAGCTCAATAACGTATTTCCAATCATAACCAACAACAATAATGGCCTCCTGACACGACTAGAGCCCTCTTTCGAAATAAAAACAAACGTAGCATGCTCGCTCTATTCTCCACCTCTTTCTCTGTTTTCTCTTTCTGCCAATCACCGTGTGGCGGAGCTGCGGAGTAAACCCCGCCCTCTGTTCTCTGTGTGCTGGAACATTTTGTTTACGGAGGTAAACTAGTTCCTACAGCTGGACAGCCCGTGGCACTTCACTCGCTCTCATTATTAACAGCAAAAAGCTGCAAACTGTTGACAGGCTGGCGTTTAACCTTTCCTAGCGACAACCAGGCAGACGGCAGGACGTCAAACTACACCAGTTTCGAGTTAAAGTAATGAAAGATAAACACGTCCTCCCTTCATGCTTACTTTCAACAAAAAAGAAGTTATGGATATTTGCGACGGGAAGAAAAGGAGAAAGGTAAGCGGCGGTGTGCGGGGCTGCAGGCGGAGCGTGGCCGCGAAGATGAAGCGCGAGGTGGGCAAAGTGCTCCGCTCCCGCACGGTGGAGGACAACAATTACACGGAGCCTATGGAGGAGGACGACGACGACGACTGCTTCTCCATTAGCTTCCTCCGCAGTGACCGGCTGGAGCCCGCCGTGGTGATGGCTCCCCGGTACAGCCTACTACGGGAGGTCGGTCGGGGCAGCTACGGTGTGGTGTACGAGGCTATAGCCCGTAAAACAGGGGCCAGGGTGGCGGTGAAGAGGCTCCAATGCGACGCCCCGGAAAACGTAGAGCTGGCTTTGGCCGAGTTCTGGGCCCTGACGAGCCTGGAGAACAGACACCAGAATGTGGTCCAGCTGGAGGAGTGTGTCCTGCAGAGGAACGGCCTGGCCCAGAAGATGAGCCACGGGAACAAGAGGTCCAAACAGTACCTGCGACTGGTGGAGACGTCACTCAAAGGTATACAGGCTACTGTAATGCTATTCATATTAATAATAATAAAGAAAGAGTACATGCCTTAAAGAGAGCTCCAAAAAATATATTAAAGAGTCATTACTCCCAAAACATTAGTCTTACTAAGTAGTTTACAAGGTGGCAGTGATTTTGCAAGCCCAAGCTCCAAATCCAAACTTCTGGAGCCCTTTTATTAAAGGCCCAGTTGTCTCATGTTAAATATAATATAATAAAATCACACTAAATGAATCTACAAAATGGTTAGGTGTGTTTTCAGCGTATGTAAACATGCACTGTGGGTTTGTAGTTGATGGCTATAAGTGTAACCACAGTTGTGGCCCATGTTTACTGGCTCACACTCTGCCACAGATCTATAAATAAAGTAAAATGAAGCTTTTACAGTTTACAGTGCTTATTACAGCCATTTCTGTCACATTTTGATTATAAATGTAATTTGCATTAATGTAATGGTTTGGGTGACATGTGTGGGTGCTATATCTGTGCTTAAATCATGTGTAAAATATGTGTCATCAACTTTAAAATATATGTATGGTGGAAGGTTTGTTCACTTAAAAAGGATTTTGTGAATTCAGAGTAACATTTATGCCTTTCGCAGCCCTCTTATGTGTCACTGACGCCGCTATACGTTACCTATAGTAGGCACAGAGAGTACACTGTGTTTCCCTCTGCTCAAAGAGAACACTGTGTACTACTTGGCAGCATGTTAACCCATTGCTTGTTGACTGAAATTTTGGACACTAAACAGTGATGTTACAGTGTGATGTTGGACATTATAATGAAATAGTGCAGCTTTATTGTAAGACAGCTTCATTTTTTTCACTTCTTTAGGTGTCATTGTTCTCCTCAATCCTGTTTGACCTACTTACCACTTCCATTGTTATTTCTTAACAGGCCTAATACAAATAGATAGTAGCTGTTAGAAATATGTCTTCCAAAAATTAAAATTTAGCATTTAAACACCAATGTTGACCCATGCTGTTAAAAACCCCAGGGTTATAACTGAATCAGTGAACAGGCGTTGCTTCTGTTCTTTTAATAGCCCGACTTTTGAAATTAAACATTAATATTGAGCTGACATCTTTTGCAGCTATCAAGTGATAATACAGAATGTTAGGGTTTGGATAACAATGCTAATCTATATGCCCTTTTAGCTTTTGTGTTGGCCCACTTAACCAAGTTTTCTAAAGTGGAAAGCCAAGTGGTCACTTGCTACTGTATCATGTACAGCAACAGCCCACAGAGGTTTCACAGCTGCCTCACAGTCCAAATTCAAAGTCCAAAAGTCCAAATTCTCTGATTTCAGCTTCTCACGTGTGAATATTTTCTGGCTTTATTAGTCCTCTATCACAGTAAACTGAATATCTTTGGCTTGTGGGCAAAACAAGACATTTTAGAACGTCCCCTTGGGCTTTGGGAAACAGTGATTTCTCACCATTTTCAACGGATTAATTGATGATGGAAATAATTGTTAGTTGCAGCCCTATTGTCTATTAGAGCCCAATTAATAGATCGACTAGGCTGATATTAACTCATATTAGTTTGTTTGTGTCGGCACATGTTGGCTGATGTCAGTAGTCAGCCAGTATATTACTATGAGTGTTATCGGTGGCAGTAACAATCCAGTTTTAGGCTTTAGTGTCTATTATTCACTGCCCTTCTAGCAGGGTTGTCCCTCAGTGTTTAACAGCAGAAGTGGGATGCCTCGACCATTGTAAAAGTGTATAGGGGCTATTTCACAGTCATATATTTAACTAGTTTGACTTTGTTTACATCTACTGACTAAATCGATCACGCAATGAGACGTGTCAAGATCCTGGTGGCTTACCACCTCAGCTGAACCATTTCCTGGGGGGAGACCCTGGCCGCGTGTCTTTGCTGCTCGAGAAGCGACAGTGAAGTCTGCAAAAATTTGAGGTTTGAAACCTCAAATGCAGCAGTCTTTGAAGTGGAAGTGACACAAATAAATGTATGAGCAGATCATGAAACAGTTGCGTGCAGTTTTAAACCACTGATAATGGTGTTGCTTCCTCATGAAAAACCTAAACATGCATACCTGCTTCTCTTGAAACCTGTAGATGATTTATTCTTTTTTTATGTTGTACTGGAACTCTAAAAGCTCATAGACACATTAAGAGCAATTAGGTCTCAAGCCTCAGTTAAATCTAAATAGCATGTCAAATACTGTGCTGAAATGGCAGTGAAAGGAGCACTGCACTTGTGTGTACAATTGTTTTGGGTTTGAAGTATGGAGGGACAGTTTCACACTTGTCATAGTCTATGCTTTGGGGCACCTCTGATTTTGAGTGCTAAATGTTGGACTGTTATTATCTCACTAATCACAACGCATCTGTCTGTCTTCAATCTGTCCGCTGCAGGGGAGCGCATCCTGGGTTACCCAGAGGAGCCGTGTTATCTCTGGTTTGTCATGGAGTTCTGCGAGGGCGGGGACCTCAACCAGTACATCTTGTCCCGCCGGCCCGACCCTCACACCAACAGGAGCTTTATGCGCCAGTTGACGAGTGCTGTGGCTTTCCTGCACAAGAACAACATTGTCCACCGTGACCTGAAGCCAGACAACATCCTCATCTCACAGAAATCTGGTTCGCCTGTTCTCAAAGTGGCCGACTTTGGCCTCAGTAAGGTTTGTGCCGGACTAAACTCCAAGAACAGTGAAGACCTCCCTTTAGAAGGAGCAGGTGGCAGAGGCAGCGACCAGAACAACATTGTCAACATAAACAAGTTCTGGTTGTCGTCTGCATGTGGCTCGGACTTTTACATGGCCCCTGAGGTGTGGGAGGGCCACTACACAGCCAAGGCTGACATCTTTGCCCTGGGCATCATCATCTGGGCAATGATCGAGCGGATCACTTTCATCGACGCCGAGTCTAAGCGGGAACTGCTGGGCACCTACATACGCCAGGGCACAGAAATCGTACCTGTCGGGGAGGCTCTGTTAGAGAACCCCAAGATGGTTCTCCACATTCCTCAGAAGGCCAGGAGCTCCATGTCTGACGGGGTGAAGAAACTCCTCCAGGACATGCTCGCAGTCAACCCTCAGGACCGGCCGGACGCCATCCAGCTGGAGGTGCGGATGGACCAAGTCACGTGCGCTGCGTGACAGCACCCAACTTCCCAAAACCTCTCCTTTTTTAACTCTAACCAGTCAAAGAAGGGACCCCTTTCATTCCCAGGTATGCTCCACTTTCTTCATAACTTATTAATGAATGTTCTCTTTAAGTTAGATATGTGCGACCAAAGAACCAGCAGGTTTTAAAGCCAACCAAACAGCTAACGTCACTGATTCATCCACCTTTAACCAGAGTGGAGGAGCAGTCAGTGAAATGATCTGTTATAGTGATTAGTGGGACTTAAAACCTACACAGAACTCACCACCACTGACTGAAAGGGGACACTGGCCATCGGTGACCCAGGGCTGAAGACAGGTAATCTTCCTTTCAGCTGACACTATTAGCCTGTCTTGCCCCAGTCACTGACTGCAGTGTTCCTCATTTAACAGCCACTGGTGGTGTGAAGTCGCTGGTTGTTATGGTTTCCTGCTCTGCTTTGCAGTGAAGACAGCAGCTGTTTTTGATTACTTCCAGTAGGCAGGTTGACATTGAGATTTCACAGATAAAACTAGGTAAAGCATGTCTGTTTGAGTGTAACCTCTGTTGTGACGCACACCCACTTTACATCTTGCATGAGCACTAGGTGGTCAAACCATGACTGGTTCAAAAATGCATGCTATCCGGTGCCTGATATTTTTTCATAAAATTTTTCTTTTATTGAGGGGAAGGATGGTTCCGATTTGTTACAATTTGCGTCTTATTTTTGTAGTTTCAGTCATAATTTCTATTAGTCTTGATAACTTTGGACTCACCAAAGATAAATAAGATAAATGCTGAGATGAGAATGCCAAGAAGCACAGACAATCAAGCAGTCCTTGCCAGTATGGAAGCAAAATAAGTTTCAATTGAACCCGTTTACACCTGTAGAAACCCTGCATACAGTAAGTAGAGTAGGTTAAAGTTGAAGCAGGAAGTGGGTCTGGAAACTAACATGGATGTTACAACAGAAAGTTTGGCTGATAGTTTTAGCGTTAACCTTTGGTTTGCTCTTCCTTATGTAGAAGAGAAAATTGTGATGTCCCCTCGCTCCCAGATTTTATCAGGTAACTTGTTTAGTAGAGTGTTTTTATTACTAACGGAAGTGATAGCCACAACATGAAAGCTGTGAAAAAAATATTTTATTAGTTGCATTAGGGCTGCAGCTAACAATTATTTCATTTTCGATTCATCTGTTGATTATTGTCTTGATTAATGAATCAGTTGTTTGGTCAATAAAAGGTCAGAAAATGGCGAAAGTATGTTTTACTGTTTCCCAAAGCCCAAGGGGACGTCCTCAAATGTCTTGTTTTGTCCACAACCCAAAGATATTCAGTTTACAGTCATAGGGGACTAAAGAAAGCAGAACATATTGACATATGAGGAGCTGAAATGAGTTGGACATTTTCTCTTAAAAGATGACTCAAAACTATTAATTGATTAACAAAATCGTTCATTTATTTTAATAGTTGATTGTCTAATCGTTGCTGCTCAAAATTGCATCTCTATCAGTGAACCTGAGGATCTATTGGGCCATTGGAACCCCAAGTTCCCTGACAAGACATTAGACGACACGTTGGCCTAGTCCCTTCACTCCAAATAGTTCCTAAGCCTTAATACTGCTCTTAATTTCAGCCAAAGCTTCCCACGTCACTGTCAAGGAAACAGGATTAGCAAAAGTGAAAGTATCTATTGCAGAGTACTGACGTCAAGACACAAAACTGAGGTACTGGTACAATTAACAATATGACATGACATCAATAGAGTGCACACTCAACAGTTGATCAACAGTCGCTGTCACCGCATGACAAAGGTGTACTTAACATTGGAGGTAGGTTGCAGGAGGTGTGCTGATGGCCTCGGGTGTGTAAAGGGCGGTGTGAGAGTTAAGTACGTGAGCAGGACCAAGCAGGGAACAGCCTGGGCCTGAGGGCAAACAGCCTGGTTTTAAATGAAATACCTACAGCCCATGTGCGTGTATGTGAGAGAGTCAAGCTGGAAACAATGAGTTATTGGCAGAGATTCATGAGCAGTGAAGGGATGTTTGGCATTACCCTGACAACGTACAGTACATGAGTTTTATCTAGTTTATGACACCTGGCAGTGAATTCCATCTCTTGTGGAAACACTGACTTCTGACTTCTGTTTCCATCAGTCTCTTCCTCCTGTGATATGTATGACCCTTTCACTGACAGTTAACTGGCTTATTTCCCACCAGAGAATGTGAATGCATTCATAATGGTCTTAAAAAGTGTCAGACCCTGAATGCATTTACTGTACAGTCAATATTTGTCTCTGACCCACATTGGATCTTAGCTACATTTACACATGTGCCCAATTGCATGAAGCGTTGGTGCTGTTTGTTTTTTCTAGATTGAAAGACGTAGGGATGACTGTAACACATCTGTACATTATCTGTCTTAATCACGTTGTATGTGTGTATTTAAACATAGCCAGTTATAGGCCACTATTACATTAACAAAGAGTTCAGGTATCAAGTATTTTTCCACTGAAAGTACTTTGAAAGTCAAACTGCCATTTGAATTTACATCACCCTTTGTGTAAATAAAAATAAACTACATACTACAGCTATTGTGCATAGTTTTCTATGTTTTAAAAGAGCATAAACCCTCATTGTCGACCTTTATGGTACACTACTGACTGGAGAATGTCATGTCCACATGCTGTTAGCTATCAACCACTTGTGAAATCAGTACCACAATGTAATATTACTCATACATAAAGGTAATAGAAGTATTTATTAGAGCCTGACCAATACAATTTTATTGGGGGGGGAATTCACAGATTACTGCTACGGAGACCAATATAGTGAATTTAGCCTGAATGAAAATAGACCTTTTCTTGTAGATTGTGCACCAATTTTGCACCGATATAACCATGTAAAGGTACTCCGAAGGCTGCTTTCTTAAACAAATAACTCTATTGGCAGAAATGGAATATAATATTCATAGGTTTGTTTTCATGAGTGTATAATCACCTGAAAATAAGTATTGTTGTGTTTTCGTTACCTCAGAGTGAGACGTTTCTATCTTCAGAACCTCATTTCTATTGAAGGGTACATTTCGGATATCGAGAAGTACCCCTCCCCCAAAACAATCATGTACACCCATTCGGAAATAACTTTTTTTGCTGTAGTGACAGTGTAGGAAAAGTGTCCCCGTAAGATGTTAATTGTCTCAGTTTGCTATATAGAGCAGAAACTTCTTGCATCACATCAATCAGCCCGCTGAGTGAATGTTCACTGACCCGAACTGTGTCTATTTGTTTGAACTTGAACTCTCCGTGGACCACGACTAAGCCTGCCGTTTGTTTGACAATTAGCTCTCCAATCCTACAGCCATTCTCTTTTAACCCTTTATTGTAAGCCCCCCGCGCAGAGACCCCGCCCCCTTACCCTGTGACGTGTAACGCAGCTGTCAGCAGAGTCAGCGATAGGATCTGAACGCGCGTCAGTCGACTGCTGCAGATTGGCCTCGTTTTCGCTTCTACAGCATGTTACGCAACAGTCCCACAGCAATGGGAAAACCTGTCATCTGTTGGAGAGAGGGATTAGTGGCTGTAAACATACAGAGGTGGGGGTGGTGGGAGTCTGTTGCGTGTCTGTATTTATGTCAGGAGCTGGTTAACTGAGGGCAAAGCTAATCAGTGATCTGAGTGACAATACTTAGATCACTGATGAGATTTCACACATACAGAAACACAGAAACAGTCTCTGGTCTGATGGGACAACATCTGTGGCTCTATGGAGATCTCTGGGATCTGGTCCAGTGGGGATGGATATGTTTCAGTTTGATTATTTTCATTATAGATTTTTTTTCTCTTAATCAATTGATTGCTTAATCTAAACAATGCCAAAAGATAATGAACAGTACTCATCAGCAGTTCCCAAAGTGATGTCTTTAGTGTGCTTGTTCAGTCTGACCAACATGTCAATACCCAAAGCTGTCATTCACTTTCTATTTCTATAATTATCAAAACTGCCCAATCATTTTCTCACAACTCATTTTGTGCACATAATAGTGCACTAGTTACAGGTATCCATTGGACTTCTTGCTATAATGGCACAATAATATGATGATTTTAATTTTTAATTTTGTTAGTTTAGTTTGGCTGATACTGGATGTTTGCGGCTGATACTGATTTCAATATTTGAATTTAAAGAGTCACTGTGTCATAGCGTTAGGACATCACAGTTTCCAATGTGAAGTCTTAAGATGTCTTGTTTAGTGTAAAACTCACACATATTCAGTTTACTATCACATTAAACAAATAGTGAAACTGGAGAATGTTCCGTGGCACATTCTTCGAAAATGACTTTTTAATAATAAATTGATAATACACAAATTGTTTCAGCCCTAAATTGCCTCACTGTTTCCATATTGCCTCAATATAACATACAAACATATCATCTGCATTTCTGTACTGCAATTTGTTGTTACTTATCAGCAGACACACAGTACAAAACTGAACAATATTGACCGATATACCACGAACATATAGGAATTTCCTAACCCGGCTTACTTCCATTGATCAGTATCGGCTACATTAAGCCTGATCATTTGCCAGTCCTTTGTTTTCTTATCTCTCCTGCACTCCGCCTTCTCCAGCTGTCAAGTGTGTGTCATGCAAAGAGATTATCCACTACGACTGTTTGCTAGGAAGCCTTTAAAAAGTTCCCAAGTACTGAACATTAAAGTAATTGTTAAATAACTTGCACCATTTACAGAAACTGAATATTGAAAGCTCATAAGTCTCTGTGTTTGATAAGGTTGTAGTAACAGCTACTTTGAAAAAGAAAGAAAGAAGCTGTGATCAATCAAGCTAGTTGTTTTTCAGTGCCAGTCAAGTATAGCCCATCTTTAATTAACAAGTTTTACTGTCTTTGATGTGTTCACAGTGCACACAGACTTTACGTAAAAACTGTTCGGGAGTGTGTTGGGTGAATACTGAATATTTAATGGCATGGATCAGGAGTGGGAAATCCCTATAAAATGTGTATTGTCAGCAGCCTATCCTAACGTGCGTATCTCAGTCTGTCTGACACCCCTCTGCCAATCTATCTCACC